AGGTTTATTGAAAAAGTTTTATTGAAAAGATCAAAGGTGCTAGGATTCAGGAAACTCAGCGTACTGGTGAACCGGAACTGGAAGTGGGAAGGGAAGTATAAGAGGTTAGTTCAGGGGCTGTGGGAACTTCGAACGATGACTTGGAGAAACACAGACAAAAGGGACCCACGTTAGTGGAGAAAACTTTCTTCCCAGAATCCAGTCTGTGTGGGATTAACCAGAGGTAGAAACTCGTTGGAGAGCGGACAGGTTTTGACTTGGTTGGATCCCGAGGAGTTGTGGAGCGGACTGTCACTTGGAAATCCAGGAGGACTTGAACAGAACTTGTGGAGGTTTATCCCCTGATCAGTGTGAGACTCAAAACAATCCTTCCAGGGGAAGAAGCCAAAACATCCAGCTGCAGGATGGCTTCCTGCTGCAAGGCAAAGACAAAAACAAAGTTAGGCTCAGTGAAACAAAGACTCGATTAGACTCAGCTAATCTCAGCTTGGCTAGAGTACCCAAAACTGGCAAACACTCTGGCGTCGAGGTAGTGACAGTCCACCGCTTAACTAGTCCTCAGTGATGAGCCAACCAGCCTAAGGTGTGCGAGAGGACCAACGAGAACAGGGCACCACGTGGTGGTGGAGGAAGAGAAAGACACAAAAAACACAACCCACACAAACGGAATTCCTAACCCTCATCTGCCTCCATCAGAACTCATCGTGGGCATGTTCCAGACTTCCTGAAGTCTATGACCAGTTCCATTGTCTTGGTGGCATTGAGCTTTCTGATGGTTTTCTCTACACCAGACAATAGAGTCATCCACCAAATTCCTGTACCTGCTCTCCCTGTCCATGGTGGCTGTGAAATCTGCATACTACCATATGTGACATAGCTCCGAGTTGTGACAGTCCGAGGTGTACTCGGTGAGGAGAAGGCTGAGTCTATGTTGGGAGGGAGGTACACTGAGGGAGAAGAGACTGCACTGGGAGTGAGGGTGGGTAGTCGAAACGGTTGAAAATATTCAGTCAGATGGTTTGCCTCCTCTAATGCCCAGGATGTTGTTCTGGATTTTATATTGAAGCCTGTGATGTTGTTCAAACCTGCCAAACCTCCCTCACGTTGTTGACCCTAAGCTACAGCTCCCCCCTCCTCCTATTTGTGTCTTTGTGTCATGATGGGTTTTGGATTCAAGCCCATATGCAAAAACACAGCCAGGAGGCAGGGAAAAAGTTCAAAGGTTTAATGTAGAGAGCATACAAAACAGGTCAGGTGGGTAATCAGGTCCAGGGGCTGGTCACAACTGGATTCACTGTTCAGAGGTTTGTGCTGAGCGGCAGAAAGGGGAACCAGGGGGGTCCAGAGGCAGACGGTAGGCTGAGGGCTGAGGTTTGAGCTGAGCAGGCAGAAGGAGGGAACCAGGAGGGTTCAGAGGCTCACGGCAGGAAGAGGGCTGAGGCTTGGTTCTCCAGGATTCTACGGAGATCAGGCAGACCGATTTCCAACAGAGAAAACTCTTCAGGAGGGTTTCTGGTTGCAGGCTGGTTGCTGGAGTGTGGTCCTCAGCCCACTTAAATGCTGGTCTCCTGATGAGCAGATGAAGATTAGCTGGTGAAGTCAACTCCAGCCTCAGGAGATCCAGTACGCCCTCTGGTGGAGAAAGGTGGACAGACCCCCAGATCCCAACAGTAAAACAACCCCTCAGGAAGGGATCTTCGGCGCCCTCTGGTGGGCAAGCCTCAGGATCCCAACACTTTGTCTCCTTCAGACACAGTTTCACCTCCATTTGTGCTAATCTAATTGTCTCTCTGTCTTTGTTTATGAAGGCAACCTTCTTCCTGTTGAGTGCAGCTTTGACCCATCCAGGGTTTGTTGTTCAGGTAAAACTGATAGTCTTATGCTACGTTCACACCGGACGCAACAAGAGCAGCAAAATCGCGTCTGCTGCTTCATTTTTGCTGCTTGTACCAGTTAGTTCTGACGCGCGGCTGAAGCAGCTTTGCTGCTCTGGCTGCGCGGTGTGAAAGTGTGTCTGACGCGCGTTGGGCGGAGCTACTCTATCCTTTCTTTGTCTTGCAGCTATATTTGCTGTGATCAGTGGGAATAAAGTAGTTTTGATATGTTTTTAAGTGGGAAAATCCACCTGAAAACTTAATCAGTGCAGTCAGTTCATCCAGATTACAATCCTGCCTTACAATATTATTTCTGTCAGAGACGCTCAGACCCCCACATACCAGCGGTGCGCTGTCAGTAAAAATCCCATTCCACAGCAGCCTCTGGCCCGGTCGCCGCCTCGTGGTTCACCGCGGCAGCTGGTAGGTGTTTTTCATCTAAATAATCTAAACTGCAGGCACCAGGATAATAAAAGCGAACATATTCTGCTGGCAGGTTTCTGCATTTTAAGTAAATTTAGGCGTTAATAAACTGTTTCAGAGGAGTGATCACAGCGCTCTGTGTCATCAGCGATGTGTCTGTCTCTCTGCTTCTCTGATTGGTTGACGCGGTGCGTCGAGCAGCAAAAGTAAAAATTTTCCATCTCGAGCAGCAGCGCGTTTGCAGCGCGTCAGATGCTTAAACGCTCCCGACACGCTGCTTCAGCTGCTCAGACACGCTGCGCCTGCTGCTCAAAATGCGGTGCGGGACGCCTTGACGCGTGTCAACCATTGACTTTGCATGTAAACTCGCTGCTTCTGTCGCGCCTGCTGGTTCCGGTGTGAACGCAGCATTAGCAGCAGAGACTGCATCCACATAGACGTGCAGGTAGTCACGATGAAAAAGCATTTGGATATTGTATTCTCTCTGTATAGTGCCTTTAGAGCAGGCATTCCCAAACTCGGTCCTCAAGCCCCCCTGTCCTGCAGGTTTTAGAGGTTTCTCTGCTTCAGCACAGCTGGTTATAATGATTGCAGTAGACCAAAAGCCTGTTAATCAGCTTTCAATTAAAATCAGCTGTGCTGGAGCAACGAAACCTCTAAAACCTGCAGGACAGGGGGCCTTGAGGACCGAGTTAGGGAATGCCTGCTTTAGATGACATGGTGGTGAATTGAAAATATATAAATATACTGACTTGAACTGAATAAGTTAGTCAGGGAGTGGGTCAACCCCTCAAAGTACTCGTCATGGTGGGAAAACAGAAGTGTTTCAGGGCCTCCTTCACCCCAGGAGACAACCTCCTAATGGAGCGTGCTGTTGCTGGCTGTCTTTTGACCAGAGGGGTGTACTGAGACTTTTAGAGGATGAGGCTGTGTTCTGAATTGCCAAGTAGGGGAAGGGGGGTGTCTCCTTCAAGCAAAATTATTTCAGGAACCAAGGTTTCCATAATTAAGATTGTAGTGTTAATTTGGATACTTAAAATTAGAAACTACCTTTTAAAACAACACTAATTGTCTTTGT